AAAATTGCAGGTTTTCAGTTTCTGGTGTGTTGTTCTTCGCGTTCGCGGAAGGACTCTCGCGAACGCGAAGGGTAAGTCAGGCTGAAGGAAACTTCCTTCTACGCGAACGCGAGACACAGGACGCGAACGCGAAGCTTTGGGAGTGTTTCCCTTCGCAAACGCGAGCCTGCTATCGCGAACGCGAAGGCTTTTGGGCCTGGGCACGGGGAGAGGGATTTTACCCTACGCGAACGCGAACGCGAAGGCTCTGGGGGCTGAAGCTCCGCGAACGCGAGCCTTGTATCGTGAACGCAATGGTTTATTGGGCCTGACCCATCGCGAACGCGATGAAGGTCTTTCCAGTGATTTTAAAACAGAAGCAAAAACGGGATTTAACAAAAATTTCATAACTTCTTCTTCCAAACTCCAAATTGGGCGTTTTTTGAAAGAGAGCTTCACCACAAATCCATAGGTATGTAATCTTAGACTTATTTTCTTCAATTTCCATTAACACCCATTAGATTTTTAGGCTAAAATCTTGTTCTTAAGGGTAGAAATTAGGGATTTGGGTAAAGTTAGGGCTTTTTGTATAATTGGTATTTAGACCTCGTTTTGGAGTAAGATTTTGGAATAAATTACATACTCGGGCTCGTGGGTGAATGGGTGATCGGGTTTTTGTCCGAACCTCGTATTTTGACCAAGCGTGCCCGGGGTCGATTATTGACTTTTTGGGAAGAATGATAGGAAATTTTTAATTAAGCCTTGGAATCGAATTGTTTAGCGTTTATTGATGTTATTAAGTGGATTATGTTTAGTTACAATTGATTTGGAGCCAAATTCAAAAGGAAAAGCGGTGTTTGAGGCTTGAGTTGGCCGTGGAAGTTCGAGGTAAGTGTTTGGTCTAACCTTAGCTTGAGGGATTAGGAGTGGTTTCCTATTTGCTACGTGTTACTTGTTGAGTACGACGTATAGGCATGGTGACGAGTATCTATACGTCAGTGTCAAGCATGACCGTGATTCTTACATTTAAATTATTGTGTTGATAAATACTACGAATGCCTAAGTTGTTGATTCTCTGTGTTGAGCAAGGATTATGATTATTCTCGTGGAAATTACTTATGATTGAGTATTGGTGCTAGTTGAGGAAGTCAGATGTTGGAACAAGTTTGGTTATAGCTGATTTTCCCTTGCCGGGACGTATTTACTTAAAATGTCGAATCCCTTGCCGGGATAGTGTTGTTTCTTTATTGATCCCTTGCCGGGACTCTCTGTGTGATTGGTGTTGAACTTTATGTTTGGGCCGGGTTGCACGCGGCAACAATATTATATTTGGATCGGGTTGCACGCCGCAACAATAATATAATTGGGTCGGGTTGCACGCCGCAACAATAATATAAGTGAATCGGGTTGCACGCCGCAACAATAATATAAATGGATCGGGTTGCACGCCGCAATAGTGATAAATGATATGGACCGGGTTGCACGCCGCAACAGTGTTTTATGATTGGATCGGGTTGCGCGCCGCAACAATAGATAATAAAAGTACTTGTTGATTGGTTACGAGTTCCTGATTCTGTTGCTGTGAGTTTTAAATTGTTCTTTATGCTTTTCTCTTAAATTGTTATTGGTAAATGATACTCCCTCGCAGCATGCTCCCCCTCCCATCTTTACTTGTTTATTTTTGTTTATTTTTCGTTGTATATTATATAACTGCACAGGTTTATTTGGTAGTCTGGTCCTAGCCTCATCACTACTTCGCCGGGGTTAGGCCAGACACTTACCAGCACATGGGGTCAGTTGTGCTGATACTACACTCTGCACTGCGTGCAGATCCCCGAGCGGCAGCTTTTGGACCATAGCTTTGGGTGGCTGCCTTCAGTCCAGTCAGAGATCCCGAGGTAGTCCTGCAGGCGTTCGCAGGCCCCGGCGTTCTCCTCTATCTTTATATTCTGTTTTCATTTACTTCAGAGACAGATTGTATCTTTCTTTCCAGACATTTGTTTGTTGTATTCGTAGACGGTCCGTGATATTGTGACACCGGTTCCGGGTAGAGATGTACTTGATGTTGCCGTACTTATTTCTGGCTAAGTTATCAGATTATGTCATCCGTGTGTATTTAATTAATGTTAATATTTCTCTGTTGATCGCATGATGATTTAAACTGTTAAAAAGGGTTAAATAAAAGAGTTAGTGAATCTAAAATGCTTGGCTTGCCTAGCTTTCACGAGTAGGCGCCATAACGACTTCGGAGGGTGGTAAATCCGGGTCGTGACAAGTTGGTATCAGAGCTCTAGGTTACATAGGTCTCACAATTCACGGACAAGCTTAGTAGAGTCTGAGGGATCAGTACCGAGACGTTTGTATTTATCCCCCAGAGGCTACAGAGTTAGGAAAAATTTCACATCTATTCTTTCCTGTCGTGCGGTTTGGTTTCTCAATGCTAATTGAATTTCTACTCTGTTCTTTCGCAGATGCCGAGAACACGCGCTTCCTCATCCGCTGATCAGCAGCCCGAGCCCCAGCAGCAGCTCCTACGAGGGGCAGAGGGCGAGGTCGAGGCCGTGCTAGAGGCCGAGGTAGGCGCAGAGCTCAACCCAGAGTAGCAGCACCAGCAGCGGAGCCTCGGGTAGACTTTGATGATGAGTTTCCAGCCCAGACAGTTCTGATGGGCCTAGCTCAGGTCCCAGAGGGGTTTATTGCTACCCTAGTACTCCAGGATGCTCCGGTCCATCTAGTGGGCCTTATGGAGAGTGTCACCCGGACAGGCTTACTTCCTGTAGCACCAGCTGTCTCTCAGGCTGGATGAGGAGCCCAGACTCCTGGTACTCGCACTCCGGAGCATATGGCTCCCCAGTTTCAGACTCCAACAGCTCAGCTAGTTGGTGCAGTTCAGCCGGGTATGGTAGCTCAGACCAGTGATGGAGCAGCTATGTTTGCCGATGCTTTGTGGAGATTGGACAGGTTCACCAAGCCCTTTACTGCCACTTTCAACGGTGCATCTTCTAAGGATCCCCGGGATTATCTAGACAGATGTCATGATGTTCTCAGAACATGGGGATAGTGGAGACCAATGGGGTCGACTTTGCTACTTTCCGCTTATCTGGATCCGCCAAGACTTGGTGGAGAGATTATTGTTTGGCTAGACCACCCGGATCGCCAGCTTTGACTTGGGAGCAGTTACCCAGTATGAGATCAGGTTTAACACCAATCACACAGATACCAATGACTGTTACCCAGTATGAGACCAGGTTTATTGATTTAGCCCGTCATGCTCTACTTATACTTCCCACTGAGAGAGAGAGAGAGTGAGGAGGTTCATTGAGGGACTTATCCAGCCTATTCGACTTCAGATGGCTAAGGAGACGGGGAGTGAGATTTCTTTCCAGGAGGCGACCAATGTGGCCAGGAGGGTCGAGATGGTTTTGTCACATGGAGGTGGTCAGGGGTCTGACAAGAGGCCTCAACATTCAGGCAGATTCAGTGGTACCTTGTCTGGAGGCAGGGATTCGTATGGTAGAGGCCATCCTTCTAGGCCTTTTCAGTCAGCACTTCAGGTTTCTCACGGTGCTTCAGGTGTTCGTGGTTCTCACATGCAGTATTCTGATCAGCAGTCCTACGGTGCACCACCAATTCCTATCAGTGCACCGCCGCTCCAGAGTTTTTGGGGTGGCCATTCAGGTCGCCAGGGTCAGTCTCAGTTTCCTCAGCCGCATCACTTCAGTGGATGCTTTGAGTGTGGTGAGTATGGTCATATCCGGAGGGCTTGTCCGAGATTAGTGGGTACTCAGTCGCAGCAACAGGGTTCCCGTGCTATGGTTCAGGCACCAGGTGTTCCACCGCCCGCTCCGCCAGCTAGGGGTGGGGGTAGAGGTGCTACAGGTAGAGCTCAGGCCGCTAGAGGTGGAGGCCAGCCAGCAGCAGGCCGTTCCAGAGATGTAGTCCATGGTGGTGGGGCCCGGCCCCGAGTTTATGCTCTTCCAGCTAGGCCGGAGGCTGAGGCTTCCGATGCAGTCATCACAGGTACGGTTCTGGTTTGTAGTAGGGATGCTTCTGTGCTATTTGATCCAGGGTCTACGTACTCTTATGTGTCATCTTATTTTTGCACCGTATCTGGTCATACCCAGCGATTCTCTGAGTGATCCTATTTTTGTGTCCACCCCGATGGGTGAATCAAGAAGGAATTGATTCATAAACCCTTTAGTGAAATTATTCCCAAATTAGTTGTGTTGCTCTTGTTGGCATCTCTAAGAGTACACTAGCATTTTATGTATTCGCCATGTTCTCTAGTCTAAAAGTTGCCTGTTCCATAGACCTTTTCATGAAATATCCTATAGCTCATAATGTGGTATAGGTCCATGAGGACTTTAGAGCCCCTATTCTCTTACTCATTATTCTTATGTTTATCCATTATATCCATAAAGATCTCAATATTTTTTTTCAAGGAGGTAAGTACCTTTTTATGATAGCATTCTTCTATCGCTGTAGTGGTAGACTAATATAAACTTTCGAAATGGACTCTATTATGTATCTTACCGGGAAGCACCTCATATGGTTCAATGAACCTTTCACTAGTTTTGTATAGTACTTATGTAGCATTTCTTTTCTTGGAGATGGTTGCATGTCCATTGGCGAAATTTGACGTCTTCGAAATTTGAACATCTAGCCAAATTCTATTATATGATAATTGGTCCGAGCCATACACGAATAGGGTAAGTAATGATAGATTAAGTTATTTGACCCTAATCGCCACACACGTACGGGGGAATAAGAAAGAAAGACAAAACACATCCTATCACGCCCTCACAGAATCACGATTATGGGAATGGCCGGCTACATAACCATAATTGAGATTCTAGTACCGACCTGTGCTCCATTAGTCACAAGGATAACGTAAGCTCTAATACAAACTTTGTCACGACCCAATTTAGGATCATGACTGGCACTTAGGAGTAAGTGCTCCCAAGTAAGCCTCATCGATATATTACAGAATATCGGACAAAGTTTCCCCTATTTTAGGACAATCCAAAAGTTTTCCTGTCTCATAAACAATTTAACGGCCAACCAATATTTACCTAAATCAACCACAATCTTCATGAACTAACAAATGAGTTTTCACCAACCCTACCAACCTTATAAATAAGATAATACTAAGCCCATCTCAAAAATACGGAAAAGAAGGTGTAATACTAGTGAATAATCCAATATAACGAAAGAATACTCATGGCACTAATAAAAATGACTATGGAGCGACTCTAAGAGTTTCGAGAAAGAGACAATAACAAATAAATAGAAATCTTTGCCCACGCGAATAAATGCGGGGCTCACCAGAAACTGTCAACTCGTGTACTCTAAATAACGGAATCCTCGCTTGCGTCTACTGCTATCTCTGTAAAAACAATAGTCACGAGTGAGTTGCTAGCTCAGTGAGTAATAATACTTAACCACAACCGTTTTTAATGGGGACAAGTCAGAATGCCTATATAATAATAATAATCAGAAGCTATCATAAAAAATAAATTGCCCTCTCAAAAACGGTAAATATAATTAGTCTATTCATGTGCTTCTTGTAACAGAAATCAATTTAACAAATCAGTAATAAACTCGGTAAACACTGTCTCATTGCAAATCTTTTTGTTTCGGAGGTTTCCAAGAAAGGATCATGTAATCTATATCACTATGCGGACCCCTTCGTAAAAGGAGTCAAATATAACTGTAGGTCCCTACTCGAGGGAAAATTGTAACTGTATGCTAGTTCTACCTTCCCACTAGCGAGGGCTATAACTGTAATCTGTAATCTGTATGTACAAGGTGCACCAGGTCTAAGGAACCCGCCGTTAGCTATGGGATCCTTCAAAGTCTCCTCCCATTTATACTTTTTCTTGTAACCAGTAAATATTCATATGAAAGCATTTTCAAAATAGTACAGGGCATTTTAATTCTTATCAAATCATGTATTCCAATTTCGGTAGCGGTAATCATATCTCAAGTCATAGTAAAACATGTCTAGTAACAGTGAGAACATATTAAATAAATGTAAACATCTCAAGTATGCTATTCAGTACGATATCAAGTAAAGGACTTGTCCCACATGCAATTTCAAACATTCGGTAGCACATTTATTTTTAAAATAATGTATAAACCATGCAGGTTATGAAACTACAAATTGCGGTAAGATTACTACTCACAGTAGTCGTGTCGAAATACCCAAAGTGTCACCTCGAGCAGAGTCCATAAGACTCATTCAACTACCTATATTATCACAAAACCGGTCTACATATCAGCTTCGTGAACAATTAGCATAACTGGTCTTATCATGACACGTCTAGTTAATTCCCTCTTTTTTTTTGTTCCTCGAAAATATAGCTACTGATTCTCTGTTAATCAAGTTAGTAGTACCTAAATCAATAGGAACTACAATTTTCTACTTATTCTTATTTATTTATTTATTTTGGATTGATATTATGGTACTTCTATGTACAGAGACAAGGTAAAAGGAATTGATTTAAAAGGACTGTTTTCCTGTTCTTACGTAGTGCTTACAAGCACTAGTGGTTCTTAATTAGGCTAGATTATTTGTTGTGAAATTAATAAAATACTTATTCATCTAATTCAAAATTAATATTTGTGCTAAATCAAAAGTAACTTATCTTTTCTTTTTTCTAATTAACGAAACAATCGTTAAATGGGCTAGGTTGAGTAAATTTTACTTACCTTGTTCTTTCCCACTTTATAAATTCCTTCAACGAGAATAGATAGAACCTTCCTTTCTTTTTCCTTCTACTATGTTGAATCGCTTCTGCCGAAGCTTGATATGCTTCAATACCTAACCCTTCCTTTGTTTATCTTGATGTCGTGGGTTTTCCTTCCGTTAATCCCTTTTAATTTGATTAGGATTTCACCTAAATCCCCTTTGTCTATTTGTCTGTTGCGTACCATTTCCCCTTAGCCCTTTTCTTCTTATTCGTTTTTTTGCCAGATTTCATCTGGTGAGTTTCGGCCCTTTTTGTGCATCACTTTTTTTTTTGTTTTTTTTGGTACTTAGTTAGTTTGCTAATGACTACTATATCCTTGTTTACAATTATGGGATATTACATTCTTCCCACCTTATAAAATTTGGTCCCCGAATTTAACTCAAGTACACACCTGTAGACTAAACTAAATGAGAATATTTTATGCGCATATCATATTCTACTTCCCAAGTAGTTTCTTCAATGGTATGATTTTTCCATAAGACTTTAACGACACGATTTCTTTTGATCGTAACTTTCTTATTTGTATGTCAGCAGTAGCGATCAACTCTTCGTCATAAGTTAACTTCTCATCACGTAGTGTGATTGGTGCTTCACGCACATGGGAGGAGTCCAATATACTTTAACTTAGTTAGTTTGCTAATGACTACTATATCCTTGTTTAAAATTATGGGATATTACAGGCGTGCAACCCGATCCCACCGTATCAATACAAGTTCACCCCTATTCCACCATATCAATCCACCCTCATTTTACCTGTTGCGGCGTGCAGCCCGATCCCACCATATCAGAACCAATTACTCAATGTGCACGGTCAAATCAATAATTCAAATCACAAGAACCTCTATGATCAATAAATACCAAGCTCAACCCAAAAGGAAACCTCGTACAACATGAGAATTCACATAGATACTACACAACAAGTCAAGTCCGGTAATGACAATTAGAAGGTGCAAGTAAGTAAGTTAAGGCAAGTAACAGTGAATCATGAAAATATGGTAGGATTTAGAGCATTATTATCATAAGAAAATATTGATTAACAGGTAGCAAATAAGCATGAAAGACATTTAGAGCATATAACATTTAAGACAGGGAAATAAATAAATAAGGAAAAGCGAAAATCAGGGAAAACAGGTAATTCGGCAGCGTATAAGCACTCGCCACCTCGCATATACGCCGCAACACATGAAATTCACATATCACATAGTCAGAGGGTTCCTAATTCCCTCAAATCAAGGTTAACCACGATACTTACCTTACTCCGTAGCCAATTCAGAGCTCTACCTGATAGCATTCATGGCAGCTCAACATCATTAGAGGAGAAGGATGAAGCTCTGGAAGCTCCAAGAAGGCCCATGACAAGGTCTCAAACAAAGAAATTTCAAGACAAGCTTAATGGGCTTCAATTGGCAATTAAAAAGTGTCTTATAATAGAAGAAGAGCTCCAGCACAAGGAGGATCTTTGGGCCAAGTCTTACAACTATTTTGAGGCCCAAATTAAAGTCCAAGAGGAGATGGAATGAGGCCCAAATATGCCCCAAAAGAGAGGAATTTTCAGCAGCCCAAGTAAGCCCAAAAATAGTTTCTAGAATATATATTTAATAGTTGTTTTAATCTATGTTGACTTGCATTGGTCTATGTGTATGTTGAAAACATTGGTCTTAGTGTGGGTAGTCTTCTATGCTTCTAGGGAATATAATTCTCATTTATTGAAGTTTTGACTTGCTCCTTCTTTACTACTATATAAAGGGGGCTTGTCTTTCATTGCAGAGGACATTGAAGATTAATATTATTATTGTGAGTTCTTTTGAACCTTTGTGAACTTTACTTTGAAGATTTATCTTGCAACCCTAACTAGTTCATAGCTTAAGGTAGTAAGATAATTTTCTTTCTTGTGATATCTTTGGTTTCTTTTGATATTCTTCGAAGGCGACTAGTTTCTTTTACTAGTTGTTGTCGTAAGTTATTCAAACTAGAAGTCAAGATCCGAATCTAATTCTTGATTAGCTTATCTCTAGTGAAGGCAATTGGTTTCATAACAAACTTGTTGTCATTAGGATCTTGTCAAAAAGTTAGATTAACATAATCTCGGGGTTCTTGGACCTTTCCTTGAATTTCGACATATCTAGTTTATTTTTCTTGCTCCGCTTGCATTTCTTTACTACTTCCGCATTTCATCAACTTATTTTCTTCAAGTTCTTGGATCTCCCAACCTTTGTGTTATCAAGTGGTATCAGAGCGGTTGTATCAAGATTCCGTTCTTGATAAATCTTGGGGATTTCTTGAACAAAGGAGCCAAAAAAAAAAGATTAAAAAAAACGAAAAAAAAAGAGAAACATATTTGCTCTTCAAGAAATCAGATTTTTATTTGTGTTTGTTTCCAAAATCAAGGAAGGAAACAAGAAGAGGGGATCCTAATACTTTGATCTTGTTCAAAAAAAAAATCCTTTTCCTTGTTCGAGGTTTTTTCAACTAAATCCTACTCTTTCTAGGATTGGTTCTTCACTTTCTTTAGTGCCCCAAATTTCGTTGTTTTACTACTAACGGCTTTGATACGAGTTGGGTTTAATTATAAATCTACAAGGTATTTTTCAAAGGTTAATTGAGGGGAAAAAAGCAAGAGTGGGTGAGAACAATTGAGGGAAAGAGCCAAAGTTTGAGTGATAACTATTATTATTATTATTTTAAAAAGATGTCTCATACAGGTGCTAGTGATGATGAACAGAGGGCTCTCCCAGAAGCCGAAATTCGAGCAAGAAATGATTTCACTCTACAAGCTATGCATCAACAATTCGAGAGATGGAACTTGCAATTCCAAGAGATAAGGGATACTATTGCCGAACAAAATGAGACAATAGCTGCACTTAGGAGGGGAAATCAACCTGATGTACAACCTCGAAATAATCCTAGGCCTCTTAATAGAAGAAATGTACCCATGCCCCCATTGTAAATCAAGAAAACCCTATAGATGATTTTGTTGATGATCTTGATGTAAATCTAGATAGGGTGGGAAGAGATAGGAGGGGACAACGAGGTAGAGTAGAAGATGATAACATTAGCAGCATAAAAATGAAGATGTCATCTTTCAAGGGCACAAGAGACCCAGACTTGTACCTTGACTGGGAGCGGAAAGTTGAGGCCATCTTTGACTGTCACCACTACTCTGAAGGTAAGAAGGTTAAGCTTGCTGTTGTTGAATTTTCTGATTATGCTTCTATTTGGTGGAAAAAGCTTACAAGGGACAGACAACAAGATGGAGAACCACCCATTGCTACATGAGGAAGAGGTTTGTGCCTTCCCACTTTCAAAGAGACCTACAACTGCGTCTTCAAACCTTGAAGCAAGGAACCATGACTGTTGATGAATACTTTAAAGCTATGGATATGGCTATGATCCAAGCTAATTGTATGGAAGAAGAAGAGGCCACTATGGCTAGATTTCTTAATAGTTTAAATAGAAAAATAGCTGATGTAGTAGAGATACAACAATATGTAACTATAGATGAATTAGTAGATTTGGCCGTAAAAATAGAAAAGCAAAATAAAAGAAGGCAGCACGCTAGCTCATGGAGAAGTCGGCCAAACACCAATTCCAAGAAGCCATGGCCAAAACAAGAAGTGATTTCTAGACCTCAAGAAGACAAGGGGAAAGGTAAAGTTGATGAGAAAGAGGGAAGTAAAGCTTTCAATTCTAGATCCTCTAAACCTTCTAGTTCCATTCAATGTCATAAATATCATGGAAGAGGCCATATGATGCATGAATGTCCAAATAGAAGAAATATTCTGTTGAGAGAAGATGGAGGATATGAGAGTGAAAAAAGTGAGAAAGAAGAGAGAGGAGTAAGTGAAGATGATGTAGAACTTCCTAATGATGGTTTGGTTGGGGTAATTAGGAGGACTATAGATGGAGAATATGAGGGAGAAAAAAGTGAGGAAGAGGAAGAAGAGGAAGGTGTGAGTGAAGATGATGTAGAGTTACCTTTCAATGATGGTTTGGTTGGGGTAGTTAGGAGGATTATGACTATTAATTTAGGAATCAGTAGTGAAGAACAAAGAGAGAATATATTTCATACTAGGTGTGGAATAAAGGGGAAAACTTGTTCTATGATTATTGATAGTGGTAGTTGTGCTAATGTGGTGAGTTCACACTTGGTGAACATGTTAGAACTTGCATGCATGAAACACCCTAAGCCCTATAGACTCCAATGGTTGAATGATAGTGGTGAACTGAAAGTCAACAAACAATGCATGATTTCCTTCAATGTTGGTAGGTATGTGGATGATGTTCTTTGTGATGTGGTTGCTATGCAAGCTTGTCACATCTTGTTAGGTCGTCCGTGGCAATATGATAGGAATGTTTTTCATGATGGAAGAAAGAATAGATATTCTCTTGAGCTTAATGGCAAGAAGTATACTCTTGCACCTTTAAGTCCTTCTCAAGTGTTTGAGGATCAAAAGAGATTGAGAGAAATAATGGGAAAACAAAGAGGAGGAAAAAAAATGAGCTTGAGGGAAAAGAAAAGAAAGAAGGCCAAAAGGTAGAAAAAAAGAAAGATGGCCAAGAGAGAGAGAGAGAGGGCAGCAACTTGGGCAAAGTGGTAAAAGAGGGTTTGAGTGATAAAAAGGAAAGTTTTGGTGAGCGGAAAGAGGCAGAGAAAAAGAAAAAGGAGAGTTTGTACATAAAAGCCAAAGAGTGTTTGAATGCAAGGAAAGAGGGGTTGCCCATTATACTACTTACTTATAAAGAAGTTTTGATTAATTCTGAATCACTAACTTCTTCTTTTCCAAGTAGTGTTTCTTCTCTTTTGCAGGATTTTGATGATATCTTTCCTGAGGATATCCCTAAAGGTCTACCACCTTTACGTGGCATTGAGCACCAAATTGACTTTGTGCCTGGAGCACAAATTCCAAATAGGCCTGCTTATAGGAGTAATCCAGAAGAGACAAAAGAGCTTCAAAGGCAAGTTGAGGAGTTGCTTGAGAAAGGTTTTGTGAGAGAAAGCATGAGCCCTTGCTCCGTTCCCATCCTATTAGTACCCAAAAAGGATGGAACTTGGAGGATGTGCGTGGATTGTAGAGCAATCAACAAGATAACGGTAAAGTATCGTCATCCTATTCCTCGTCTTGATGACATGTTGGATCAATTGCATGGATCCAAAATCTTTTCTAAAATTGATCTAAAAAGTGATTACCATCAGGTTCGAATGAATCCTGGAGATGAA